ACAATGATGTTTGGAATAAGTAATTAAGTTTAATTTGAGTGCTACATAATTAATAGCTTAACATAATGTCTATTAGCATTTAATTAAAGTAGTAATAAGTGAGAACTTCATGGCAATATCCGAAAATATCAATTTTAATAATTGGACTTAATACCAATTTAAGTAAAAAAAATATTTCAATTGAGAATACTCTACTTTATTAGTACTAAAGTAGATATAAAATTTATTTATTAGTGAAGTACAAACTTTGATATTTAGTTGTGCCATCTTTATTCTCTGATCATTAATTCATAATTATTTATTATACCATATTTATCATTATCTACTTATAAAATTTATAGCAACAATCATCATTTAAAATTCTACAATTATTCTAGAATAATTTTCATTACCTGACGGGCCTTATATTTTCATTACCTAATGGGCCATCAAAATCCAAAGCTCAATCAATTTAGAGTTTCAGCCCAAATCTTATTTTTTTTTATATTTGTTCCATCCAAACAATGTCTACTACGGAGTATAAAATAATGAAATTTGTGTATTTCTATTCACTGTGATTAAGTTATTCTTCAAATCACAGGTGGGCAATTCGGTTTCGATTTTCTTTAGTTTCTGTTCGATTTCGATTTATTGGGGTTGAGAGAATTTGTAGCAAAGTAAAATCATTTGTGATTCGGTTTGGTTTCGGTTCAGTTTTGATTAGGTTTGAAGTTCCGTTTACAAAAATGAAAAGTATTAGGGTTTAATTTAGTTCGATTTGATTCGTTTTCTTACGTTTATTATTTTATTTGATCAAGTTGTATATTTCAGAATTAGAAAATGAAAGTTGTAGTCCATCTTATTTTCTTTTATTGATTATTTAAATAAAATGTAAAGGGAAATACAAGATAGAAAAAGAAATAATAAAATATTATAAATTAAAACTTCTAACATCCTTTTGATTACTAAAAAATGATTCACTTCTCACAAAAAATAAAATTATAGTTCATTAGCATTTACACTTTCACATAAAATATTCAAAAATACTAAAGGAGTAGGTGGTACAAATGTTGTAATATTCACAATTTTATTCAAATGAATCATGTAAAAAATATAATTGTAATTTACTATTGTTATCGCCGAACATAACAAATACAAATATGTCGTATTAGCTAAATTTGTCATAATGAATACATGAAATGTGTAAAATTTAAAATGATACTACGTATATGTTAAATATGTAATTTTTATGTCTAAAATATTTATTTATATCTTCACAATTTAAAAGTTGTTTGGTGTTTGGTTCGGTTTATGGTTTTTCAGTTTTTAAACCAAATCAAACCAAACCATAACTTTCAGTTTGAGCAAATTATTACCAATTGGTTTACTAAGTAAATCTAAACCAAACCAAACCAAACCACCAATTTTCGATTTGATTCGGTTCGGTTAAATCAACCCATTTTGCTCACCCCTAGGCCCTAGCTACTTCAAATAATAATAAAACACTAGTCATTGGTTTTGAGCAACTCCACGTACTTCCGGTTTCCACTTTTTTTGGGAGCATGTGGCTTATATTAATAAGAAAGAACGTAAGCAGGGTACAAACAAACAAAGAACATATAATCTACCGTCTGCTCTTGAATCAGACTTAATCTGCCACCTCTAATGAAGCACCCAGATTCGCTGATCCTAAATTGGACTTACTTGAGCCAATGATTAGTAAACTAAATTCCCCATCACCTATCCTAGGTTCTAGAGTCTTGACAAAATTAAAAGAGGCTATCATCCCAAACAAACTGATAGATCTAACAACCAAAACGATAATAAGAAACCAAATAACAAAATAATAATAACTAATACGAAAACTATCACGAACTCTAGCACCTCGTACAACTCATGGCGGTGGTTCAGGAGGAGGCCGTATCATTGGTACCACTCTAATTGAACCTCCATTGTCGATCGAAATCTGGCCTATTCGAATCTCGTGCAACTCTCCTCATCCCACATACTTCTCGCCTGGGCTCTCCTCCTTCATTCTGGCCGCCGATTACCTGCTGATTCGAGCCGTTCGTCACCATCTACTATCCGCTGCTTCTGTTCGCCTTGCACGAGTCGCACGTCGCACCAGATCGACGGAATTGCCAAACCCTACGAAGAGGGAAGAGACCGCCGCTAGAAGTTTGTTGGCACCGCCTGACTCCCGCAACCTTCCTTAGCTGGACCAGCCACGCCGCCGGAGAACTCCCTGGGAAAACCCTAGACTTGGCCGCCTTTACTATGCAGTTTCCACTTTTAATATCTTTTATTGTTTTTCCACTTGTAATTATTAGTGCGGTTATAGTTATAATAATAGTAATAATATGATCGTTATATTAAAGTTATTATTCCAAAATTAGTGTTATGTCCTTCTCTATTTTTCTTATTCCAATATCTATATTCTTTTTATTCTTTTATCTTATTATTTTCATTTTTATCCTTTGTTTTGAAAGATTTTTATTTTTATCTTATATTTCTTTTTATCTTAATTTTATCCTTTAATTTATATCTTACTTTATATATTTATCATTTATGTAGTACTCCCTCTGTCCCAATAAAATCTTTATACTTTACTTTTTTGGACGTCTCATTTAAATTTTTACGTTTCTTTTTTTGGCAACTCCTTTTATATTAATTGTCCTAGTTACCCTTCATCACCCACCCACTTTTGACATTTGATTGTATAACATTGATTAAGCCCATAGGTGATAGGGTATGAAAGACATTTGTTCTTCTATTAATTAGTATCCTAAAATATTGTGCCAAAAGCAAACGTTAAGATTTAACTTGAACGAAGGGAGTATACTTTTTGTATATTGTACTCATTCAAGTTAGCCAATCTCCAAACTTTTTGGGACTTAAGCTTAGATGTTGTTGTTGTATTATTCCAACATACATTAAAATAATAACATTATTAATAATAACTAACGGTCAATCAGATCAGAAAGATCAAGATCAAGATAAAAGATTTAGTTTACATAAAAAATTATACATCAAATCAAAACAGATCAAAAACATCAGACCTAACTCTAAAAAAATCAGATAAAAAGCATTGAGATTAGACAAATGAAAAAACTTCCGAACCATCTTTATTAAAGACCGTGTTACATTGTTACTAGTTTTGTAAGGATAACCGGCAACTCTACTAGTTTTGTTGTTATGCATAAGAGCATCTCTAATGCAAAAACGTAAACACTGCATACGTGGCATGAGAGATAGCTAATTAAAAAATAATAAATAGAATATCTCTCAATATTTAAAGGATATATATATTTTTGGTAAGTTTTTCTGCACAATGTCAAGCACAATATCTAGATGTAGACATTGTAGTCGACATTTTTGAGAAAAACTTATCTAAAATATACTTCCTCCGTTCCATAAAAGTTGCAACATTGGAATTTCTGCACTATTCACACATCTTACTTTGACTACGATTTTCTAATAATATATATAATAAAAATATTATGTATAAAATATTAATAAATTTGTATTAATGTAAATTTCAAATATATTAACTTTTTTTAATGTTTACTAATACGTAAATTAATATAATTACAGTCAAAGTTGCGCGTTGACAAACGTGAAAGTCAAACTGTTGCAATTTTTATGGAACGGAGGATAGTATAAGACTGTGAAAAGAGGAAGAGATATATACTATCATCCGTTCCATAAAAGTTGCAACAGTTTGACTTTCACGTTTGCCAACGCACAACTTTGACTGTAATTATATTTATTAACGTATTAGTAAACATTAAAAAAAGTTAATATAATGGAAATTTACATTAATACAAATTTATTAATATTTTACACATAATATTTTTATTATATATATTATTAGAAAATCGTAGTAAAAGTAAGGTATGTGAATAGTGCAAAAATTCCAATGTTGCAACTTTTATGGAACGGAGGAAGTACTATTTATTGCTTTATAATTGGCTATCTCTCGTGACACGTATACACCGTTTACGTTTTTGCATTGAAGATCTCTAATAATAGAGTTATTCAACATGATTGTATGATGAAAGTTGTAGTCATTATTGGGTTTTTGAAGTATTAGGGGTATTTGGAACAGATTCCGATTCTGCTTCTTTTTTAAAGCAAAGCAAAATCAGAATCAGTTTTCAGGACCTGGTCACCCCCAACTTCTAAAAAAACTGATTCTAGGAGTAAATTAGAGCACCTGAATCACTTCTGCACTTTTACCCAAACACTCCAACTTCTGTTTCTGCATTCTTCTACTTCTGAAGGAGCAGAAGCAGTTTTAAGAATCAAATCCAAACACCCCTTTAATATACGCGATTTTAAATAAAAAAATTAATAAATAAGATGTATCACTTAATATTTTCTTTGAATATATTCTGTAAAACGTTTAATTTTCTACTGTTATTAATTATATCGTTTACACATTATATATTTATTGATCAATTAGTCTACTATCTGTACATAGATATGTTTAAGGAATAAAAAATACACCCATATTAATTATGTAGAAACATTTATTAAATGCCACATGCATTCTGTACCAAAACCTCACCAGATGAATAGCTACCGTACAAATTTCTTCAAAATTATTTATTGGTATAGATTCCAGAGACATTTGGAGTCCACTTACAGTGAATCGCAACAATTCTAGCAGTCTCAGTAGCAGCGAGGACAGTGCAGATATGTCTGAATTCCCGGAACCACCGCGCCCGCACTCTTCTACTTCAAATCTCGCCGCCGAGGCCGAATGCCGCATAATCGATACTTCCGCCGCGGGAGGCGGAGCAGAGGACCTCTGCTCCTTCCCTCCGAGCTCAGATTCCGTCCTGGAGAATGTCCTGAAACACGTTCTCTGCTACGTGACCGATCGACGCGACCGGAGCGCGACCTCGCTAGTGTGCAAGTCGTGGTACCGGATCGAGGCCATGACCAGATCTGAAGTCTTCATCGGAAATTGCTATGCCGTGTCGCCTCAACGGGTCAGGGAACGGTTCAGCCGGGTCAAATCGCTGATTGTGAAGGGAAAGCCTAGGTTTGCCGATTTCGGATTGCTTCCGCCGGATTGGGGCGCGCGCGTGGACGCGTGGGTTGCCGCCTTTTCCCAGCCGTACGGTGCACTGGAGAAACTGTACCTGAAACGCATGGTTATCCTGGACGAAGATATGCAGGCTCTGGCCGAGGCTTTCCCGAATCTGGAGGAGCTGGTTGTGGTCTGTTGCGAAGGATTCGGGACCATGGGACTTGCCTTCGTCGCGGGGGAGTGCAGGTGAGTGGCACTTCTTTTAATTTTCTTGTGTTGGCTTTGATGGCTTTGATTCGTATTTCATATCCTTTCTTTCTTTCATGTTTGCTCACTTTGCTGATTGCTTTTTTAAAGGTTTGCAGCTAATACCTCATATATTTACCGTTTACGTTATCTACTCCAATTGCAATAGTTTTTGCTTTAAAAAAATAATTTTTTTAAGTGATTTAGAAAAAAATTCTTAAAAGTAAAAATTAGTATCGTATTATCTGATAAAAAATTTGATTTTGAAAAGTAAAAAAGGAGAACTATCAAATAAGCCCTCGAACTTTCATAAAAAGTGCAAATAAGCCCTTTTATATGATGCTCGGTCCGGTCTTTGCCATTTGGGGCGGTTTCCGGTGGAATTTTTTGATGAACTTTTTTGACATCTTCTTCATTAAGTGTAGTTTACGCATACCAAATTTCAGCTAAACATGAAATCGGGAAGATAGTCAAATGAATTTTTGAAGATAACTGCGCAGTTAGGCAGCCCAGTATATTTCAGAAAATCATTTGAGTGCCTTCTCGATTGATTTTTTAGCTGAAATTTGGTATGGATAAACTAGACTTAATAAAGAAGATGGTCAAAAAATTTCATCAAACAATTCCACCGGAAACAGTCCCAAACGGCGACAGCCGGACAAAGCCTCCTGTAAAAGGGTTTATTTGCACTTTTTATGAAAGTTCGAGGGCTTATTTGATAGTTCTCCCAAGTAAAAATGAACAATGTTTGGTAAAATATGTGTTTTTTGTGTGATAGAAAAATAATAAAAAATCTGGTTTTTAGCTTTTGAGTTTTTAATTTAAGTAGAAATTGTCACATAAAAACACTATTTTTTAACTTTTAAGCCAAAAGCCGAAAATCTTTTTTTGTCATCTTTTGCAAACATACCTAAGTAGGACTAAAAGTAATTCTAAGTGTGACAACAGGACTAAAATTCCTTTTACTCCTAAAATAGGAGTACCATATGTTGTTTCTTCCTATTTTATCTCATTTCATAATTTCTAATATATTATGTTTTTAATAAGAAAATCATAGTTTTATTTATAATAAAAATATAAAAAATAATAGAAATATTTATAAATTAACAATAAAAGGAGAAAAAATAAAATAAAATAAAAAATTAAAAAAATAAATATATACGAAGTATATTTTTAAAAAAGTCTAATAAAATTAAATAAAATACCTGACAAAATATGTAAGCCACTGCCACCACATCCTCCACCTCCCATCATCGCCACCTCCTGTAGCATTCCTCTTAAAATATCATGAAGATTCATTTTACGCTTTAGAAATATCTAATTTTCTTGTCAAAATTGCCGATGACATTTTTCCATCTTGGCATTGTTTTTCGACGACCGGAGGTGGTGATGCTAGAATGTGGCTGAGGTGGTGGCTAACACTATATAGTTTTTATTTATTTTTTCCGCTTTTTAAAATTGTTTTATGTTTTAATATTATTGTTTAAAAAATCTTATTAAGAATGACAAGAGAAAAAGTAGAATAGGAAGAGCTAGCCCTAATTTGATAATTTGAACTTTATGCTTCTATTGTTACAATTTTATTTTTATTTAGTCCTATTTAAAGAAATTTCTCTTGTTTAAATATTTATAACAACATCTGAACCTTATTCTCAAAACATTTTGGGTCCTTTAATAAATGATACTACCTCCGTTCCCATTTTAACTTCCAAATGGGCTTGGCACAAAGTTTAGATAGTGGATATTGTGTGGTGGAGAGTTATGCAGAGGAGAGAGAAATGTGTAAGAAATGTTGTGAACCACAAATTCTTTACCAAAAAGGAAAAGTGGAAGTTTTAATTGGAACGGACGAAAAAGGAAAGTTGGAAGTTTATTTAGGAACGGATGGAGTACTCCGTAGTTGTTTGTATTTATTTTGGAAAAAATTAACCAATACCAGTAGTCCTTGATGATAAAACAAAATGAATTACCTAATTTCCTTATTACGGAGGAATATATAAGTATCAAGTACACAACAAAATCATAAAAATAACAACAATGAGTAGGCGCGACAACTACCTGCTTTGCCGCCTCATCCGGCGTCGTCACTGCCTCTTCCGGCGTCGCACAACCTTATTATACACGCGAATGCCACTTCTTCTTGCACTGCAGCCACCTCTTCTGACGGGATTGCCGCTGAACTCCGGCCTAGTTAGACCTCATGAAAAATGTCATATTACAATTTGAATGTATCTTAATGGTATCCGTATAAAAATATAAAAGATTATCATATCCCGCATTCCCAATATAAATATTGATGACATTTTTTTTTTGATGAGGCGGCAGTGCAAGAAAAATATGACATTTGCAAATGACAAATATGGAAATTTCATACTACGTATATAAAATTATGTCATTTTCAATTAACTACTATGAGATGACATTTCAGGTCGGAAAAAATGGAAATTAAAAATTAAAATGTAAAGATGGGAACAAAATCACAAAACTATTATTGGCATATTGGCAAAGTTAGTGACGTAGTGTCATAAAAATGTCATTATTTGTGGAAATGACATTTTTCATATTGAAAACATGGAATATAATTACTATGTTCCCCATTCCTAAGGAAGAGATGAGAGTGGTGGAGCGTATGTGGTTTTAATTAGGACTAGAGTATTACTACGTATATCATAATAAGGGCAGGAAGCTAATGTTGAGTTCTATTTAGAGAATATACAACATGAGTCCTATTTAGAAAGTGTTACCATGTTTTACTTTTACTTGGAGTAATTTCTACTTTATTTGTTGTGCTGAAATGTAGTGACAGATTTATTTTAACCAATTTTGAGGTATGATAATGCTCTCAATTGTGAGATTGTGTGGTTTTCTTGTGCTCGCAATTTCTAGGTATAATTTTGTTGCTTATTATTTTAGGAAATTGAGGGTGCTCGAACTGATGGAGTGTGATATCGATGACGATGAAATGGACTGGATTTCATGCTTCCCAGGAGGTGAAACATGCCTTGAGTCTTTGGCCTTTGATTGTGTGATAAATGATGTGAATTATAATGCATTGGAAAGGTTGGTGATGAGGTCTCCTTATTTGAAGAAACTTAAGTTGAACCAGGTTGCTTCTCTTGGACAGCTTTACAGGCTGATGATTAGGGCCCCACAGCTTACACATCTGGGGACTGGATCATTTAGGCCCTCAGAAGAAGGTGATGGTGAACAAGAAGAAGAACTTAACTATGCTTCTGCTTTTGCTGCCTGCAAATCATTAGTGTCTCTGTCTGGGTTCAGGGAAATACATCCTGATTATCTTCCTTCCATATACCCCATTTGTGCCAACCTTACTACTCTTAATTTCAGTTTTGCCGACATCAATGCTGAGCAACTCAAAGCAGTCATTTGCCACTGCCACAAGCTGCAGGTTTTATGGGTATGCAAACTTCAAGGAAATCTGATTTTTTTTATTGCCCAATGCTTATTTATGACCTGGTGCCCTGCATTGGTTAAATAATGAAGATAAAGTAGGGTCATGAGTTCTTTTTGGTTGAAGTTGTAGAACATAACTATATAATAGTCACATTAATTTCTTTTTGTCGAACAATTCATCTCTTTGTTAGCACTAAAATACATATTACATGTATCTTCTCAAAATTCAGAACCTTCATATGTAACACCCACAAACAGGTCTTGTTTGGTTGCATGAATTGCCTCATTTTGCTATGAATACTTAGAATAAGTTGTACGCGTAGCCTTCAACTTAGATCCGATTTGTTAACATTAAAATTGGCTGAATTATAAATAAAACTACAATAATATTTTTATTATTAAAATTAAGAAAGAACTCTATGAGAAAATAGCTAAGATATTATTATTCACCAAATTCAGTAAGAAAAGTAACTTCGACTTTACTTATATTGATTATTAAATAATTTAGCGCGTGAAAATCTAATATTAATAATCATTTTATTGATTTCTTTGAGTAAATCAAAATCAAAAGTTATATGTTTGGTAAAATTGTTGTCAAATACCACTAAGAAGATGAAAATGGCTACCGAGGGGTCCTTATTTATCTAGCTGAAATTGATTTTACAAAACACTGTTGTTTCAGAGGGAACTATGGCCAAATACACACCATCTCTTAATCTTAAAATTTTCTCTGCAGGTGCTTGATTCAGTATGTGATGAAGGCCTCAAGGCAGTAGCTGAAACATGTAAGGATCTAAGAGAGCTTCGGGTTTTCCCTCGTAATGCTGATGAAGACGCAGATGGCCCCGTTTCTGAAATCGGTTTGGTTGCAGTTTCAGAGGGTTGCAAGAAACTTAATTACATATTATATTTTTGCCAGAGAATGACCAATGCGGCTCTCCTGACCTTTTCACAGAACTTACCAGATGTTGTGGTGTTCCGTCTCTGCATAATGGGCCGGCACAGACCCGACCCGCTAACAGGAGAGCCAATGGATGAAGGGTTTGGAGCCATTGTCAGGAACTGTAAGAGTCTCACCCGCCTCTCTGTATCCGGTCTACTGACCGACCAAGTTTTTAGTTACATTGGGGAATATGCTAAATTGGTGCGGACACTGTCAATCGCGTTCGCTGGGGATAGTGACTTGGGGCTGAAATACGTGCTGGAGGGCTGCCTGAAGTTGCAAAAGCTTGAGGTAAGGGATTGCCCGTTTGGGGACTTGGCTGCCCGTGCTGGTTTGCATCACTATTACAACATGAGGTTCATTTGGTTGTCTTCTTGCCGAGTGTCACGTGAATGCTGTGAGGAGATTGCACGGGAGTTGCCGCACTTGATGGTGGAAGTGATTGACTGGAATGAGTTGGGGAGTAATGAGAATGATTATGATGTTTTGTACATGTACCGGTCTGTTAACAATGAACCAAGAACTGATGCCTCAAGGTTTGTTCAAATCTATTGATATTAGGAAAGATGCAGAGGAAGGTGTCATTGCGGTATAGTGTTTTTTTCCTGCAAGTTCTTGGACCAGGTTTAATATTGGCGATCTTTTTGTGATCTGTTTCTTCATTGAGGATGTTCATTTTGTCTTAAAGATAAAAAGAAGCCATAGCATTGCAAGGTGTAAGATGGAGTCCTACAGAAATGCAGATTGAGAAAGATCATGATGATTTGGGTAGACTTCCCATCTGTTTGCATAATTCCCATTTCATTACTGAGTTTTTACTTGTTTTTATGTTTTTCAGTTTACACTTTTAGACTTGCTTATTTTTCTTTCGATGTGTTGTTTCGTTTGCACCTGGCTGCTGAATTTTTTACAGTTCCTTTTTTGGACATTTCATTTCACTAATGATATGCATGGTAAGCATTGTTGATCTGGTTTCCTACTTCCCTAATTTGGTTCTACTATCTGTGAATTGGCATAAGAGCCTTGGAACGATGGACCATGATGGCGATGCTAATGATTCCTTTTAGCTGTGACTGTATGTGGTAATTAATGTATTGGTTAAGTCGGCAAACCTGTTGAGCCATTGGCTTTTTATTGAACCTATTGAGCCACAGTTGGGGTAGGTGGGACGTTGTTGAATTGGCCGGATAAAACACTCGGAGAGGAACTGTAATTAGAAGGATAAGACCGGAAGTAAGACCGTTTTCGAACTGCATATAATGCTGGTCGACTGGACTAGACCGTTTTTTATCCCGGATATTGTAGGAAACTGTATTTGGAATGCTTTGGGGCTTGACCGTAATCAGATACTGTCTAGCTCAAATTTGGTGGAATCTAAGGTTTGGGTTCATTTTTGGATTGATGTTCTTTGAATGAATAGAATCATTTATAGTAGACACCTCTTTGGTTGTGTCGTGTGTGGAGGGAGAGGGATCATTATTGCTAGCAGAATACTAAACGCATAACCTCTATTGGATTCAACTATGGAAATGGAGTGAGTGTTGAGCTTTGTAACCCTTGAGATTTAATTTAAACGGATTAATAGTACTACTCATATCAACAAGATGTATCTCCTTTTAAGGGGCTCATTAGTTAAGAATTCCAAAGTTAATCGTGTTTGTACGAGAGTATGACATGGGTAACCTTCTGAGAAATTTCTGAGGGCGCACACGAGTGGGCACAAAGTGCGCGTTAAAGGCTTGTGGTTGTTTGTGAAGACAGAGGTCATGAGTAACTACCTCGGACCCTACGGGGTGTTACAAGCTTGACTTCGCTTCCTTTGCTAGTTTGCTAAGCCATATGTAGGTCAAATAGATCCATCCATCAATTATTCAGCATACAACTTAGCTTCTGCCTTTCTAGCTCTTTTAAAAACAATGCTTTACTAGCTGATTAGCAAATCATTTGTTTTTTAATAGTACTTGTATTTTAAGCATAAACTAGCTCACTCTGTACATTTTTACTTTTGTACCCTTTCCTTCCTTTCATCTGATTTTACCATAATTGTTATCTTCTATTGTTATTTGTTCTTAATCTTCATAATATACATAATACATATAGTGACAAATAAAATACGGGTATTAGCCCTAAATAGGAGTAAAATAAGCCCAAAATTCACCATTAGGAGTACAATCCTTTTATTCCAAAAATAGGACTAATATATATCTCTTCTTCCCATTCTACCCCCTTCCTATAATTTTCAATAGATTTATTTTATTAATAAGAAAATCATAGTTTTATTTATAAAAAAATAATAAAATATTTATAAAATAATAATGAAAACGTGAAAAAATAAAATAAAAAATTAAAAATTAAAAATAATAAATAAATTATTTAATTTTTTTTAAAAAAGTCCAAAAAAATAAAATAAAATACCTAAAAATATTTTTAAAATATGTACGTCACTGCCAACGTGCCCTCTACCTCCCAGCACCACCGACTCCGGTCGCCGGAAAAAAATGCCATCTTGTGTAAAAAATGCCACATTTCTCTGAAAATGCCATAAAGATGACATTTTTACTCTTTGAAAATATCCAGCTTTCTCTTGCTTTCTCTTCAAAATTGTCATCATGATGATATTTTTCCCCCAACTTGGCAATCTTTTTCGGCGACCGGAGGTGGCAGTGCTGGAAGGTGGTTGAGGTGGTGGTTGAGGTCTATATATTTTTTAATTATTTTTTACGATTTTTTATATATTATATAATGATTGTTTAAAAATCCTATTATCAAGGACAAAGGAAAGAGTAGAATAGGAAGAGTTAGTCCTATTTTGGGAATTTAAACTTTAAACTCCTATTGTTGCAATTATCCTTTTATTTACTCCTATTTAGGTAAATATCCCAATAAAATAAGGAAAAGTATGATTTTGGATTCATACACTTGTTTCTATATCTACGCGTCAAATAATGATATTGCGACTATTAAATTGTTTCACTGCTATCGGTTCCGAGGCCTTATTTGGTCGATAGACACTAGCTAATAATCTAAATACACTATTAAAGAATAATGAGTGATTTTAGTGGTAATTTAAAAAAAACAAGCACAATGAGATTTAAAATACACTTTTTATCCTAAACTCTATTTCCCTCTTTTGTCATCTCTTGAAGCACTTCTAGTTTTTTTTTATTGAAAATAGAGTAATGTGGATATATACAGATCTTCCTTTCAAAATAAATCCCAATAACATAAGTTTATTGTCTTTTTTACCCGGTAGGCAAACCACCAAAATCAGTGGGGCAAATGCCGGAGAACCTTTGCCGGGTTTTATTGATATGAAAGAAATAATACAAAAAAGAGGGGGACTAGGCCAAAACCTCTTTCAAGAAAGAACAATTGAAATAAGAAAAACAACAATAAATTAATGAGAGAATCTAAGTGAAGGAACCTGAGAATCTGAGATAAATCCATGTAAAATGCATTTTTAGCTTGGGCTGGCAAGTCCGAAATTCTGGCAAAGGTCGTAAAATGGACCGGGGACAGATCCGCCAAGAAGCGCGTTGTCCAATTAGCTTCTCGCATAACATGAGAATAGGAAACCCCTCTATTCTCGAACCTGAGCGTCGTTGCCTTAATTTCATCCTTTCATCTTCCCTCACCGCCCTCCAGAATGTGTCACAGAGCCTCTTTAGAGTCCATTTCTGTCATGCCCCGGATCGTGTCCGTGCCACGTAGACAATCGTTGTACAACCCAATAAGAACAATGACAGTTCATCCCTATTGAATGATACAAGGCGTCCGATAGATTCTATTGCCAAACCGATTAGTAAACACATACAATCAACATCAATATCATAATCAAATCAATGCGGAAATAATATGTTTGATAATCAGCCAAACATGGCAAACACGGGCACGCAGGCCCCCAATTGTTTTAATAGAAACGTTGTTTGAAATATCCATGAGCATGATTATAAGTTCAAATCAAAATGGGAAGCACGAACCACGTCTTCCTCCTTGATCAATCACCTTAGGCAAAGGTACAGATAGTAGGACTCTAGCCTTAACCTGAAAATGTGAGGGCCCCCGAAGGGGTCAGTACTCCATAGAAGTACTAGTGACACACAGGCTATATGAAGAATAACTAATGTTTCAGACACGAGACCCAAAAATAGGGTGATACATATATATAGTTGTAACTCATCCACCCGATGATACATACTGTATATATACGTGTAAAATACTTAACACGTAGGTCATTTACCTTAAAAGAGTATTTTAGAGATAAAGTTCTTAACTGACTTTCCTCACTCCTTTCCCGGATGCCTAGCTCACAAGCTATAGTCTACCTTCGATTCATACTACCGAGTGTTTTAGGATCATTTACCGTCCAAGGGTGCTCAACCCCAACCTGGAGCATTCTGGATCATTTACCGTCCAAGGGTACTCAACCCCACCTGGAGTATTCTGGATCATTTACCGCCTAAGGGTACTCAACCCACCTGGAGTATTCTGGATCATTTACCGCCCAAGGGTACTCAACCCCACCTGGAGTATTCTGGATCATTTACCGTCCAAGGGTACTCGACCCCACCTGGAGTATTCTTGATCATTTAACGCCCAAGGGTACTCGACCCCACCTGGAGTATTCGGGATCATTTACCGTCCAAGGGTACTTGACCCCAACCTTAGTTCTACCAAATCCTAACCTCGATATGGCTAACCTTTTATTTCTTCAACTATGGACAATACCTAGCCCTACAGTCATATAATAATCCTTAGTAACCAACGTGAACGGGTCCCACCCGAACGTCCCACGTTAACCTACTCAAAAACTGCCCGTCTTGAGTATAACCCAATACCCGGTCGGGTATCCAACCATACCCGGTCGGGTATAGTGAGGCAGTAGCCCCTGGGGCTGTTTTTAACTAATACCCGGTCGGGTATTTACCCATACCCGGTCGGGTATAGCCTTTAACTAGGTGGTCAATTCTCGTTTGACCGTCCAAACGAAGTCCGATTAACGTGAAATTTTATACGCATGTACTTCTTGACGTCCTTGATCCAAAATACCTTTTTGGATCCCTGGAACATCATACATAATAATTTATCACATCTTTAATTATCAAACATATATAACATGCTTTTCAACTATGTTTTATATATAATCATGACATAAACAAATACTTGATTATCTTTAATCATTCCATAAAACATATCATTGATTACTATAGGTAATCTCATGCCTCACGCAAAAGTTATAAAGCATAAAGCCGTCTTCTCACCTTAGTGAAGCCTTTAAGAAGTTATACCCTCCCGGTTGAACTCCGGCGAAACTCCAGCGAACTTTGTCTAGCTCCGACGATTATTCCGGTGACTCTTTCAACTCCGTGAAAGCTCTAGGAATACCTTAGACAAGTTCCTAATAATATTTCATCATCATAAAACCCATATTAACACAAAAAACCTCTAAAAGGTTATTTTCCGGCGAACCGGTCAACTTTGTTCTCCAAGTCCGTTTTGGTTAGAAACCAACCTTCCAACCCCTCATTCTACACCTCTAAAGGTGAAGAAAAAGAATAGGGGTCTATAACATGATTCACTTACTCATGTCGTAGGATTAGATAAAAAAAATGGGATTAATGAAATCAATACCTTGATTACCTATACTTTCCCTTCTTAATCTTCTCTTTTCTCCTCAACATTGCTCTCTTCTTCCTCCTCTGTTTTTGTGCGTAAATGGTGATTGAAATGGAGTATTTTCAGAGCTCCTCTCACCAAGAATGAAGGCTTGGTCGAAGTGTATGAGTTGGGGTGATTGAGAATGCCATTTTGGTATTTCTCTCAATAATAACATGGGAAGGTTCCATGTATTTTATTGTTTTTGGCTCCGAATCAGATCCTGCGCCCTTTCTTCTCTTACTGTGCGGCTCTCCTAGCCAATTTCAAGGCTAAAATCGTGGGTTGGCTCACACACATGTGGGAGGTCACCCATTT